TACCAGGCTTCTAGTATTTCATATGAAAGACAAAAACTGATGTTGAATACAAGTAGCTGCCCCTAATGCAGGCATAACCCTACAGAATTTCTTCCATAGTAGAATACAGAGAACAACAAGGGTCCTAAAATGTGCCTCAGGCCTACTGGTTGTTGCTAATCATTTATGGCTCCAGAAATAAAATTTGAGGCTATTTCTGGACTCAAAATAAAGTTAAAGTTATATGACATGAAAATAAAAAATAGTTTATAATTTTAAGATAGAAACTTTGAAATAGAGATAGATAATATTAAGAGAGTTTAGTCAGAAATTTGAATATCATGTAATCTTAGGTACCTCAATGCATTAATTCTGTGTGACATAAAATGTTTAATGTTGCCTTATAGGTGTTGAATATAGTACGACAGTAAATAAGCATATCAAGAGCAAAGACTTTGGTGCCTGAAGGACCTTGGTTCAGTCCTTGGGTCTGCCACTTACTAGCTTTGGGACCCTTGGTGGGTCATTTAACCTCTCAAATCATCCCTTGCATTGGTATTGTGAGAATTGAATGAGATAATGTATATAGTGTGTTTTGCATAGTACTTGGCATATTACAAGTGTTCAATAAGTGTTGTTTTGTCCTGGCTGGGAAAGTATCTGTTTTGCTATATAAAATTTAAGAAGAATATTAAAATATATTTTTGTTATTTTAAGGAAATTCGAAATGAGTCCCATGACTATCCTCATAGAGTGGCCAAGTTTCCAGAAAACAGAAATCGAAACAGATACAGAGATGTAAGCCCATGTAAGTATCTGTGGGTTTGTGTGCATATTTATGTTTGTTGGTTTGTTTCAGGAGGCAGGAACCAGTGAAAAAGAAGGTTTGGTCAGGGTTGATAAGTACAGTAATTTTTAAAATATATATATTTTTATTGATTTTTAGAGAAAGAGGAAGGGAGAGGGATAGAGAGATTAGAAACATCAATGAGAGACATCAATTGGCTGCCTACTGCACACCCCCTACTGGGGATTGAGCCTGCAACCCCAGCACGTGCACTGACCAGGTATCAAACCGGTGACCTCTTAGTCCTGGCTCAACACTGAACCACTGAGCCACACCGGATGGGCAGTAATTTTTTTAATATTAACATAATACATGTTCGTAGAGGGAAAATTGCCCATAATTATTTCATCCACACAGCCACCATTATTTTGATGTATCTCCTACCAATCTTTTTTTCTTATGCATAATTTTTCTTTCTTTAATTGTAACCTTATTGTGTGTATGTGTATACACATGCATACTTCTTTTCATATTATTTTGTATACTTTATTGGTATTACTTAAAATATTTATTGGTGTAGTTTCTTTCCCCTCAAACTACAAAAGTAGTGTGTATTTTTTGTGGAAAACTTTTAAAACAACTGCCCTGGTCAGGTGTGCAGGAGGCAACCAATCGATATGTCTCTTTCTCTGGGGCGGGGGCGGGGGGGGGTTGTCAGTGCCTCTAACTTCAGCATTCTTCCAGGGTTATCTGCATTTATAACTACAGTTATCAAGATAAGGTGTTGGTAGAAGAATAGAGGCATAGATTGGTTAAACAGAATAGAGAAACCAAAAATAAGACTCATAATTTGGTGAACTGATTTTTGACAGGTGCCAAGCAATTTAATTGAAGGATAATCTTTTCAATAGTTGGTACTGGAGTATTTGGACGTCTAGAGGGGAAAAATGAATCTCACACCATAAGAATTAACTTAAAAGTGCCTGGCCAGTGTGGCTAAGTGGTTGAGCATCAACCTATGTACCAGGATGTCAGTGGTTTGATTCCTGGTCAGGGCACCTGCCCAGGTTACAGTCTCGATTCCTGGTCGGGGCCGTGCAGGCAGTAGCCGATCTATGTTGATGTTTCTCTCTCATCTGTTGATGTTTCTCTCTCATCGATGTTCTGTCTCTCTCCCTCTTTCCTCTCTCTCTAAAAATAAATAAAAACATTTTAAAGTTGGTCGTAAACTGTAAAGTACAGGGGTGGGCAAAAGTAGGTTTGCACTTGTACAAATAATTACGCAGTCATATAAGAAACTCTGTGTTCCACATACTCACAACTATAAACCTACTTTTGCCTATCCCTGGATAAAACTTATATATTTTTATTGATTTCAGAGAGAAAGGGATAGAAAGATAGAAACATCAGTGATGAGAGAGAATCATTGATCTGCTGCTTCCTGCCTACCCGACACTGGGGACTGAGCCTGTACCTGGGCAAATGCCCTGCCTGGGAATCGAACTGTGACTCCTGGTTCTACACTCAACCACGGAGCCAGACAAGCTGGGCCCCTGTATAAAACGTTTTGAAGAAAATAGAAAATTCAGGACATAACGCCAGGTGGAGTTCTTAACATGATACCAAAAGCACAATCCAGAAAAGAAAATGATCAATAAATTGGACTAAGCCCAAATTAAAACCTTTGGTCTGTGAAAGACCCTTTAAGAGGACGAAAAGACAATGATAGACTGGGAGAAAATATTTATAAACCACCAGGAACTCATATCTAGAATATATACAGAGCTCTCAAAATTGAACAATTAAAAACAGTCAAGCCCTAACCGGTTTGGCTCAGTGGATAGAGACTGCAGACTGAAGGGTTCCGGGTTCGATTCCGGTCAAGGGCATGTACCTTGGTTGCGGGCAATCCCCAGTAGGAGGTGTGCAGGAGGCAGCTTATCAATGTTTCTCTCTCATTGATGTTTCTAACTCTCTATCCCTCTCCCTTCCGCTCCGTAAAAAATCAATAAAATATATTTTTAAGAAAACCAAAACAGTGAATTAGGAAATGGGTAAAAGATTATGAATACAGATGGTAGACAAGCACATAAGCATGTGAAAAACATTATTAACCATTAAGGAAATATTCCTTTTTTAAAAAATAAATCTTTATTGTTCAGATTATTACAGCAGTTCCTCTTTTTCCCTCCCATAGCTCCCCTCCACCCAGTTCCCACCCCACCCTCTGCCCTTACCCCTCCACTGTCCTCATCCATAGGTGTATGATCTTTGTCCAGTCTCTTCCCACACCCCCTACACCCCGTTC